TACTTTACACGACTTTGGGGATTGGGAATTGGAGAGGCAGACCTTGATGCGGAGTTATGAATGTGATCTCAAGGCGGCGGTTGCGTCGCATGTCAGACGAGGTGCAGAGGTTGAAGACTTTCCGTTGAAGGTATATGGTGAGTATTGGTGGGTCGATACGGTACAGGCGACAGACTTCATGAGAGAGGCCGGGCTGGGGCGCGACATGGACATTCAGGCACAGGGTAAGCTCCTGGGAGGAGAGAACTCAGCTTGATGAGATGAGGATGTATAACAAGACGCAATTGACGAAGAGGAGTTGGACGAAGAGGATTCCAAGAAGCGTGGAGTTGTGGCTAGTCATACTTGCACAGGAGGCAATACGCTCATGGATGTGTGTGACGTTGGTACAAAGGAGCACAGTCCTATACCACCTCATATGAAGGCCATTCCCGCATTGTTCCTGGTCAAATAAATTGCAACAGAGTAATATCCACGCGTCGCACGTTCTCGCGAAGCTCGTTCACGTATACAACCCCCACAAAGCCGGAGTGCCACTTATAGCTCCTGCTCATCCTGGGTCTTTTTGCTTTGGGTTGATACCAAGCCTCCGAAATCGCTCCAAGAAAGGCCATTTTTTCCAAGTGCTGCGTCATACGCGAGTTGTCGATGCGTTATTCGTTGCTTCTTGTGGGGGCTGGGTACTGGCGGCTCCATCCTGGAGTGAGTATTAGAGGCCCTGGTCTTTCGCTTGGGAGCTGAAGATGAATCGATTACTGTATGATCTGGACTCTGGACAGCCATTTGATTACGACGACTGTTTCGCGGAGGATTCTCTGATGTGGATGGAAGCGTTGATGGCTGGATGGTGTCTGTTGCGGTCGGGGTTTTTGGAGTAGCGTGATATGATGTAGGTAATGCAACGGCTTCCTCCATGGCCAATTTGGTCACAGGCGGGCTCGCAGTCTCATCGCCAGTCATTTGCGTGTTCGTCGGGCTCTCTTCTCTACCTCGTTTCTGCCGGCCTTCATAGTCCACTCTGGCTTTGTACAGCTCCATCATGACTGCGTCGTGAGAAAAAAGTTCACCTGAACAGAGACTGCCAAACAGATTCCGCATGCTGAGGTCAGGTGTCCAGCGGGTCTCGTCAACAGTGCACGGAACGATATCCTTAGGGCTGAATGCTCTGACAAGGCCACAAAGCTCGGAGTAAGCAGAATGGCGACTATACGGAAACCTAATGGTCCTGTTGAGTGGCGGTCCGCTTTTCGAATCTTCCAAAACATTCGACGATATCACAGAAACGAGGGTCTTTAGGGACAGATCGTGCTGGGTCTCCTCAAACTGCTTTTGTAGCTGCATACCAAGGTCGAGCTTGCCGTCTCCCAGGAGAGTCTGCTGGAGTAAGGTGATGACCTTTTCAAGCAACTGCTTGTCGTTTATGGATGCAGCACAGAGCTCCATCAACTTCTTGAATTCGCCCATACCGCCAGACTCCAGCTCTTCTTTTTGATCCAAGTCACCCTTTCCACCTCCTGCACCCAACTCGGCAATGTCTTCACCGTTGGCGCGTGTGACGATCGGGATAATGTGTACGATCTTGGCGTTCGTATCGCGGTCTAGGACGGAACAGCCCATGCCGCGCTCGCAGCTGTGGATGCGGACGTCCTCCTGAGAAGTCAAACAGCCCGGTTGTATGTGATTTCCATTTCTGAAACCGCATAAAGCAGGAGCCTCACGGATCTCAATTCCAGATTCTTGGAGGGCTTTATTGCTTGCTGGGACGTCGAGCCCCACTTCTCGCAGTTGTCGCTTGTCCAATGCGGACAAGGAGCCATATATGCGTGCTCGATAGTCGTCGAGATGAATTCGAGAACCCAAAAATGCGGACAACGCTATCCAGACGTTCTCATAGCCAAAGGTCCAAGAATGGAAGTAGAATATAGTGTCGTCGGAGTAGTCACTTACTTTGCTGAGCAGCTCTTGTATACCTTGCGCTTTGCTCGGAAACTGGCGATAGGGCTTTTTCTTCGTGGCAAAGGTCGTGTCCAGATACATGCAGTCTAATTTTCGGTTTCCGAGTGCATATGGCAGAAGTACTGGGTTCTGTATCAACGAGTTCACCCACCATTCCTCTGCTCGAATGTCGCCGGTATAAAGTACTGCTTTGCCATTACCCTCAATCAGGAACATGACAGCTCCAACGCAGTGGTTAGCATCGATAAGAGTGACCCTGATGCTGTTGCCCGGCGCTAACTCGATTACGGTTGGTGTGTCCAGAGGCAGCGCCTTGGCCAACTTGCGCATGCTTCTATCGTACGTGACATTGCGACTTTCGAGAATGCCTTTAGCGAAGTTGACGCGATAGTGGTACTTTTCTAGTCGCAAGAGTATCTGCAAGGGATGTCAGCTTTTGCATGGCATGTATGGCAGCAAATTTGCCGCTTACCTCTTTGGTCGCAGCCGAACAGTACACAAATGGGGCCCGCAACGACTCCAGACCAGTTAAATGATCAGAATGTACGTGACTCAAGAAACATGCAAGAGGCGCCTTATGTTCAGGTTGTTGTCGGAAGTAGTCTATCCTGATCTGAGGAAACTCTGCGACGACGCGTTAGTTAGGGCACTGAGTGCCGGGCACGCCGGGGCGACATTTACCGGCTACAATGCCTCTGAACGTTGACATGGAGATGCAATCCAATTAGTGTTGATCGTGACATTTCCAGAGATACTCTGAGATCTGGGAACTGGCCGGGGACGATTACGAGGGCGTCAAGCGCGATGATCGTGAAGGCAGCGTGAACGTGAACCACGTGCAGGTGGTGGGGAGGCGCGTCGAGGTTAGCGCGATTGCGACGCGGGCAGTCGCGTTCGCCCCCAGGTGCCACACAATGACGCTTACTCCTGCAAAATCACTTTACTTTTTCGCTCACTACATCCAACAGTTGAGCGACGGAGGCGCTGAATATCGCTGCATATTGCTGCGCGCTGGCGCGTATCTTTTGAGAGCTCTTTTTCACACGCCGGCCAGTACGGCATACCTGCGCATGCCGCGAAGCCATGGCATGAAGCTTCCATCTACACTACGAATACATCACTGACTTTCACAACTTGTCCTGTAGCCATCGACTTGTTACCGCAGATGCCCGTCAAAATTGAGAGTGCACCGTCGACATGGCTTGCAGCTCTCATATCCTGATCGATTTCCGCACCTTGCTCGCCAAACAAGTCAGCTAGCAACACCTCATCGCCTCCCCCATGCGCACCGACGGAATCCGGAATCTCGATATCTTGCGGCTTCTCGAAAAGCTTCCTGAGTGTGATTGATCGCGTTTCAAGTGATCCCTCGAGCGACTGGTCTCCCCCGCTGTTCACGTAGCTGTTCTCGACTACTTCCATCTCTACACGGCCGCCAGTCCCGTTGAACGAGACACGGAAACCTTCCCAGGGTGCGTAGGCGGTCAGAGAATAGGTCAGCACCGCGCCATTCTCGTATCGCACTAGGAGGTTCATTGTGTCTTCTATACTTATTCCGTCACCGAAGACGCTCTGATCGCGATAGTATGCGTCTTCATGCTCGGCATCGAGGTACATCTTCTTCAACTTGTCATTGTTTTCAAGGTGAAGTGCAAATGGATCGCTCTTTGCCACTTCGCTGCCATGAGCTCGTGTGTAAAACTCCTGTACACCTCTCTTTTCGGCATTTTCTCGCCCGTAGAAGTTCAGGTTGCCCTGTGCGTACACTGTTTCCGGACGCGAAGCTAGCCAGAAGTTGACGAGGTCGAAATGATGTGTTGATTTATGGACGAGCAGCCCCCCGCTGTTGCGCTTGTCGCGATGCCAGCGACGGAAGTAGTCGGCGCCGTGCGACGTGTTGAGCATCCATTCGAAATGTATGCTCGTCACTTTCCCGATCGCGCCAGAGCGGAGAAGCTCCCACACTTTGGTGTTGTGTGGTGCATAGCGGTAGTTGAACGTAACGCGCACTTTCTTGCCCGTTCGTTCTACTGCGTTGAAAATCTCGCGACACCGTGGTGCATCGATGGTCATAGGCTTCTCTGTCACGACATTACAGCCCAGTTCTAACGCGCGGACGATATAGATGTTGTGTGTACGATCGATTGTTGTTACGATGACTTCATCTGGCTTGGTTTCCCGGATCATCCGATCGAAATCCGCCGCTTTGAAGGTGGGAACCTTGACATGACCGAGAGACTCCAGCTGTGTATTCGCAAAGTCAAGTCGGGTTTGGTTCGTATCGCATAGCGCTACGACAACCGAGGTTTCTTTGTAGGTTGTTGCGATCGCGGTGTAGAAGAAGGACGAACGGCCGCCTGTGCCAATCAGCGCATATCTCTTTTGCTTGTTTTCCCCAGCCATATTCGCTAACAAATAATACAAGAGTAGAAGTTGAATCAGAAATAAGACGATCAAAGGCTTCGCTCTCTAGCCGTTTCTTAACAGCTTTGGAAATATTCTATGATGATGCATCGGTGTATCGCTACCCCGGTCACACCCCTCGATATTCGGTACAGTCAATCCCGAACGCTGAACCACATCATGTTACGACGTCGATCTTGCATTCTCCCGTCACTATAGCCGACCGGTGAACCAATGTTTAGAAGAGAGGCCCCACAGCATCCACCCCCGTGGGGAAAGTGAAGCAGAGACGATCATGGCCAGGAATAGAGTTTACCGCGTGAGCTCTGCGGGGAAGCTCACTCCTTGCCTAAAGCTCATGGAAACCCGGTATCTTTGCGAGTGAAGAGGGAATCGCAAGTCCTGATACGTGGAACAACAGAGCTATGAGGGGCTTCTAGCACAAGCAGGAAGCTCGAAATGCACATGGCCATCCAGGGCGTCGCTCAATCGATACCTGGATGCGACCGGGATTGGGAGACGCAACCAGTCGGTCTCTGGTATCCGAGCATGGGCTTTTGTCTGTTAAGTAGACGAGCCGGTCACTTGGTAAGTCATTCGGAGAGCAACCAAGCGTCTTACAGTCTTCGTTCTGCGGCAGCATGGCGACCATGCATTCTGGAGCCCACAAAGAAGATGCCATAACACATATCGAGCACTCTAATCCTACGCCTGCACAGAAAGTCGAGAAGGCAGATGCGGCGGCCAAGTTTCTGGCCAACGCTCATGTTGATGATGCATCATTCTCATATGAAGAAGAGCGCGCTGTTCTCAAGCGCGTAGACTATCGCGTCCTCCCTCTTCTGCTGTAAGTGGTTTTTAATCAGCTGCGAATGAAACATGGACTGACTTTTTGTGTCTACGAATAGAGGAGCCTACTTCTTCCAGCAGCTCGACAAATCCTCCCTGTCTTACGTCTCCATCTTCGGTCTGCAAGCCGACGCCAAACTAGTAGGACGTCAATACTCATGGCTCGGCTCTATTTTATACTTGGCCCAGCTAGTCATGCAGCCTCTCGCAGCCTTCCTTCTGGTCAAATTGCCGACGGGAAAAGTTATCGGCACAGCCATCTTCCTCTGGGGTAGCAGTCTAGCTATCATGGCCGCCTGTACCGATTTCAAAAGCCTTCTTGGTCTGCGGTTCGTATTGGGATCTTTCGAGGTAAGTTGCGGCTGTACGGAATGCATGTGGATCGCATGCTAACTTCGTATCTTCGTTTTTGTAGGCCATGATCGCACCGGCTTGTGTCGCAACTACAACGATGTGGTGGCGCCGGTCCGAACAGACCCTTCGGACTGGATACTGGAACGCTATGAATGGAGTCACCTTCATTGTTGGCTCATTATTCACCTACGGCCTCGGACACATCAACAGCGAGTCGCTATACAAGTACCAGGTCATCTTCATGTTCTGCGGTCTACTGACTGTGGTGTATGCATTTGTCGTCCTCGTCCTAATGCCGGATAGCCCGATGAAAGCCAAATACTTGACCGAGCGAGAAAGGTTCATCGCAGTCGAGCGTCTGCGGGCTAACCAAATGGGCATCCAGTCAGGAGAATGGAAGTGGGATCAGGTCTGGGAGACTTTGATTGACCTCAAGACCTGGTGTTGGTTCATTGCCATCATCGCGATATCGTGAGTAATGGACCTCTTTATCTCAATCTTGTTACTGATGTTCGTTCCGTGCATAGCATAGCAAGTGGCGGTATTTCCACCTTTGGCAACCTCATCATCCGCGACTTCGGCTACACCAACTTCCAATCTATCCTGTTCAACATACCCTTCGGTGTCATTCAGATTGTCTGCATCCTGGGTTCTTCCTGGGGTGCAACGCGCTGGAGCCGCAAAGGTCTTGCCATCGCCCTCGTTGCCATCCTTCCCATAATCGGCACGATAATGATGTTGACCGTGCCGCGCCAGCACAAAGGCGTTTTACTCTTTGGCTACTACCTTGTATCATGCCTCGCCGCTATTACACCTTTGATATACACTTGGCATGTTCAAAACACCGCCGGTGACACGAAGAAGAAGTGCACGTCGGCTATGGTGTTCATTGGGATGTGTACCGGTAAGTAATATCCGTTCACGGCCTGATGGGAGACGACACTAACTGCGTACAATAGGCAACGTCATCGGCCCGCTGCTATATTCGGTTGACGACGCGCCTCTTTACCGGCCTGGCCTGATCGCCAACTTGGTCATGTTCGCACTCGTAGCTATCATCGCGCTCTTGATCCCCGTCTACCTAGCACTGTTGAACAAGAGGCACGCGAAGCGCAGAGAAGAATTGGGTAAGAGCGCAGTCAGGGTTGACGAAAGTATGCTGAAGAAGAAGGAAATGACACAAAAGGGTGTGGAGATGGAGGCGCAAGATCAGAGACAGGAGCACGATAACGGCTTTTCTGACCTGACGGACATGAAAAACGAAGACTTCATTTACGTGTACTAGGACTGGGGAAGGTGGAAAGCGCAAACCACATTGCTGCTACACGTGGGTGGCCAGCACCTACAGGATAGCTGACAACAAAGTTGAACCTACATGTGTACTTTACGCACCATCACCCCCCGCGCAGCTTAGTGGCCGTCCGAGTGAACGTAGCCAATTCCGATGTTAAGGTTGTGATGAGACCATGCCTGCGAACAACCTCGGAGTTTGCCGTGACAGTGCCGAGCGCCGCATTAGGGGACATCGGCATCCACAGAGGAAGATTACATAAGCCACCCCGGTCTTGGAATCCACTACGGGGTCTGCCTTGGCCCCGTGCAGGAAGCCACGCATCAGGCCACCGATGTTGCACCAACTCCCTGGGTCCATCTCTTCGCGCTTCCCGCTCATCTCGCGACGATCCGATCGCCAACACTTGAAGTTGAACTCCGGTCCCCTCAGCTGAAGTTGCTGAACCAGCTAAACTACGCCGGCCATCGATTTAGCGGCAGGAAACCCTTTCCCGGAATGTGCAGCGACGTCTTCCCTGGCACATCTAATGAAGGAATGACCCGCGACGGAAACTCCCTGTAACGTACAACGCAGAACCCCTGTATCGTACAATGCCTTGACATCAGCGAGATCTTGGTGTTTCTTACTCCACGCATTAGTTGAGCTTGTTTGATTAGTAACCTAAGGTCCTTCGAAACTGGCGAACACGGGGCCGCGTCAGAACTCGCCGGTTGCGCATCCGCTCTGCACACAGCTTCTCACATCGCGCATCAGGTGCGAGTCATACCAACCTCGTCAAGCGTAGAAAGCGAGCCGAATCGATTTCCTGAATAAGAAGCCCCGTTGCAATGAGTGCATGGCCACGAGTGCGCTGATCCGCTAAATGAATATGCAGGTTTCCATTCTCGTCAAGAACGAATAGACGACATCGGTCACCTCCGCTATTGGATATATATTACGCTTTCGAAACTGGCACGTGCGACACACATTTAGCAGTAATTTCCATCCGACTAAGCTTTCCCCAGTTCTCATCCTGGAACAGCTGTGGCGCAGCAAGTCGTCTTCTTTCACTTCCCTAAAGAGCTTGCAAACATTGCACGGGAACCCCTCGACGCGCATAAACACTAGGTTTACCCTGGATCTGGACTAGGACCTGCCGTTTCGTAGAAGCAGGTTTCATCATTAAGCGACGTTTTTTCCAACTTGTCGACAGTTCCCTAGAATACCCAACCGAGAATCACGATCCCAAGTTGTATAGAGGTTGCATTGAGACACGCAAAGACAGCGCTGCTTTTACTTGGTCCTCACATGCTTTGATTTGTCGCGCAATTTCAGCATTGCGAAGTGCTGTGTCACTTAAATGCCGACAATCACTTGAAAAACATCAAGAGTGATGTAAACTAATAGCTTCTAGCAAATCGATCGCGGGTATAGCGGTGGACAGCGAAAAAGGGCTTTTCCGTTGCCAGTTCTGCTATTACCGGATAACGGCAAGCCACTGCATCCAGTTGGAAGGAAACCTGGGGTGCATCTGGCCGGTCATTGGACAATGGTCGAGTCCCAATTGGCGGGATCTCAACATAACTGGCCTATCCGTGCTGTCACAACGGTAGAAACCTCTCCGCTCGAAGGGCGCTAGCCCACTAGGCTGGACTATACAGGCAGCTCGCCCACAGTGGCTGTGTGGCCTAGCTCCGCTCTACGTTTCAAAACGCCGCTTTCCGTACTCAAAATGCTTGAAGTCAACATGAGAACCATACCCGGAGCTTGTAAAGCTTGGTCACATTAGTCGCTCGGTCCGACGCTGGCAAGTGCCGCAAAGCGAATCAACTCATGCCTCTCTTCGCGGATATTGAGTGCTAAAGGAACTCAGGATATGCGAAGGCAAGCCTTAGTATTACAGTCGTTCCACGAGTGAACAGGTTGTCACAAAAGTGCACGTTGTCACTGAGATCGGAGATGAAAATCAGCATGAGGAGTTTGCGCTCTAGGTACGGCCGTGGCAGCACGTTCCGCCTCTCTCTGTTCATGCTCGGTGGATTATTGGGCACTGACAACAGATTTGTGTGGCCCTCGGCCTATCACTCACCGCAGTATGGGTCCAGGATGTGCAACTTCTGCATGCTACCCACGACCCTTCTCCTGAAACTCGTATCTCTGAGATCAACACTTCATCTTACAATGACCCTGTCAGCTATAGGGCGCAACTGTCAAGATGATTCGATGCTATAGTATGTGCGAGACTAGCGTTGGGGCGGTGTCTCTAGGACTACTCGGTGCTCAGAGTAACTTTGACACAGGGGCGCTTACTCGAAGCAGAGGGTGGAAGGTCGACCTATCTCTCATGCATAAGGAGTTTGTTCCTGCTCATTGAAGCTAGCATCTCGACAGTATGAACAAGATGTTCCTCCGCCAGATTCTCATTCGAATCGTCATCGCCGCCGCGTTGTTAAAGATCTTCAGTATCTTTAGGCGCCAACATGCCTTCCAAGCCTACATCGAGCGCCGCAAGATCACCTTCGACGACTTCCCTGAGTCTTACGCTAAGGCTCTGAACGATTCCGTAGCGCGCAACGAGCAACCTCTGGAGTCTGACTATACATCCACCTACACCGGGTCTAAGATCCCGCGCACGATACATTACATATGGTTTGAGAGAATCTACCCAAACCATGAAGGCTCTAGTGGAGGCCCCTCTATTGGATTCGGGTCGCCGAAACTCTGTCGAGAGCACAACCCCAGCTACGAAATCCGCATGTGGAATGCAACGAGCGCTCGCGAGTTCCTGTCCAACGAGTACGCCTGGTTCCTACCGACATACGATGGTTACAGATACCCTGTCAGTACTCTTCGTGTACCAGCTGCAATTGAGACGTATATTGACTTCATCCAACGATGTTTAGATCCAAAAGGTTGACGCCTTGAAGTACTTCGCCCTCTACCACTTCGGTGGCGTCTACATGGACCTAGACGTCGCGTGCCGACGCTCACTAGACCCCTTGTTGGACTTCCCAGCCTGGTTCCCAGAAGCATCCCCACTGGGCGTTAACAACGACTTGATGGCATCGGCAGCGAAACACCCGGTCGTGAAGAAGATGACAGAAGGCCTTCTCACACACAACTGGAATCTACTTTTCCCGTACCTCACAATCTTCTGGACAACTGGACCACAGTTCACAAGCACAATCTTACAGGAATGGTTCGAGGCATGTCCTGATGGGCAATGTAAACAGTGGAAGGCACGGAATGATCTTGGTAAGTCAGCCATTCTTGTCTTGTGAATGAGAAAGGTCTCAGTTGCTAACCAATCTTGCACAGACCCCACTTCCTTCCTCGTTCTACCGCGAATCTTCTACTCGGAAGAGTACACCTTCTTCGGCCACAAACCCGGCGGTTCATGGCATGGCTCGGATGTCGCTGTGGTGTTGTGGTTTGTTGACCGCCCATGGGCAATAGCAAGTGTTGCTGCGGCTTTCATTGGAATAGTCTGTGGTATTGCTAGAGTGAGGAGGACAAGGGCTCGTCAGAGAGTGAAGGTCCATAGCCAATTTGTTTAGAGGAATGGAGCTTTGCAAATACCATATGTTGTCCATGAAACACCAGCTTCTGGCCTAAGTTCATGATTAGCTGGCGATTGTTCACCAGGTGCTGTGAAGTCACGGAAAGCTGTGCTGTGCAAAAGCTTCGTCTGAATCACCAACGCAACGCGGGGAGCAAGCTTGACCGAGTTTTTTAAAGCATCATGACCCCCACCATACATCCACCGAGAAGTGCAGTGCAAGACGGAAGTTAAATATGCTGTGTTGGCAGTTGCTTCACTCGTAATCTTCTTTACTTAATGTTCTTGCCTTTCTAGGCATTTCACTACACACAGTTTATCTATGCTCTCACACTCAGTCCAATCCACAATTTCCCTGCCAGATGCGAAATAATACGCTTTGTATCGACCATGTACCACCCAAACAGTATGCTTTCACTCTGAAAAGAACACGATTTTGCCCGATCTTGGAGCCCCAACACCGAGGTGATGCCATTACAAAGAGAATGTGTAGGAATAGTCGTAGTAGTACAGAAGCCAACAACGCCCGCTAACCCGAATAGAATGAAAATGGCCAGGAAATGAGAAATTGCTGCTGTGTTGTATATACGCTGACGTATGGATTCTGTTTCGACGAAGACATGTTTACTGTGACAGCCGGCTGCCAATCATGGTGCTGAAGCTGTCGCCCGCCGGTCGTGGCTCCTTGCCAGCTCCAAGATAAAACTCGCAGCGGAATTTGAGGCACTCGATTCCGCGGACATCGTGGTACACCTGTATGATGTCACCAGTGTGCAGATGTCCGTAGATAACACGCCCCTTGTCGTCCTTTTGCTTCAAGTGTTTGCCGTTTATGGAGATACCATGTGTGGCGCAAGTCCAGATACCAACGTTCAAATTCTCCAAGCTGGTCCAATCTTTGCCTTGTTGTGACAGGTCATCCACTGTCTCTTGGGTCTGGCCACCTGACGAGTAGAAAAACACTATGAAAGCTGTTTTAGGAACGCGAGTATCTGATTTGTGTTCGTACACGATCGTATTGTTGCTCAAGCGGCCCCAAGAAGTCTTACTCTGATCGATGTTGAGAGTAAGGTTGGGTGCGAAGGAGTCGGGGGTTGCGATGAGCTTACCCAGTCGCCGGGGTGGTGGACGGATATCAAGCTCCGCTGGAACAGAAGGGATTGCTGCCGCCGGAGATGGTGCTCTCGCAATGCTTGATCTTGTCGACTGCGCACTTGCGTCCGAAGCTGCTGTCGTGTCCGGATATGCAGATGTTTCGGTGTTGGAATTGCCGCCATTGGACACGAAGTCAAACCCACTCACTCTGGAAGCATACTCAAGATTATGCGTGGTCGGGTCCATCGGATCGTAATAATAGGACGCAGTCAAAGGAAGATTGATCTGGCGATTGATAGGTCGTGCTCTCGGAGTTGGCTCACTAATCTGACTGAAGTCTTTGGACGACTGTTCCAAA